TATATTGTGCTACTTCTAGAGGATCTGTGTATTTGGTTCATCCATAAACGATTATTCAAATTAATTCCAGTCAATTTGCAGACTTTAACCTCGCTTAATAAATTTGATATAAAACCTCCCACAAGGTGTGTTGTGGATCCATCCTGAGCAGTTTATCAAGACAAAGGTTTATTCAATCAGTTTCTTTAAGGGTCAGAGTTACATAATCTTATACTGTAGGTAGTTTGTTGTTGAAATGATGACAGGGTTTCTTGAATTCTGTGAATCATAATGCCAAAAATAGTTGCAAGAAGTATTTTATTCATCATAATACTTCTAAAGTCCATCTTCCTCTGACGAACAGACACAGCCTGGATGGATGTATTTCTCCTGGATGGATGTATTTCTAGTAACAACCGGTCTTCAGTTGCATTTATATATTCTCTGTGCTGGTAATCATCAACAGGTTAGCCAAAGGACAGGAAAAAAAAAAAGTTCAATGGTAGATTCAACCTTCCAGAGACAAGAAATGAGTCAGTAAATCACAATCTCTGTCATGTGGTCACTAAGTTTAGCAATCATAAAAGACGTCTTTCATGACACATTCATTACCTGGAAATTATAGCATAGTTATTCCCATGTATTTCTTGGACAAACCATAATCTTGCAATGCCCACTGGGTCAGCTTAAAGGAAACTTGTAATGACCGATTGCATACTGTAGGCATCCATTGCTGAATGTTGAAGTTTCCTGGCTTTTAATCTGATGTAAAGGCTTCATTTTAAGTTACTGATCTGGAACAAGTGTATATATCAGCAGTTCTCACATTACACTTACCTTCTACTATTCTTCCATAGATATTTCCTGAAATCACCTTCAAAGTCTATACAGTATATGTTTTCAAACTGATGTTGTACAACTATTTCTAACCATATAATCAATTAGTTTATTTGCCCTAATTATCCATGTGTTCTATTTTTAGACTTGAAATTACATTTGCAGACCACAGACTATGGAAACTTCCTGGCCAATGAGACAGGTCAACTCACAGTATCCGTCATTGATGGAAAGCTGAAAGAGAAACTAATGGCGGAGTTCCACTACTTCAGGAACCATGCCTTCGAGCCACTGGCCACGTTCCTGGACCTCATAACGTAAGAATTTCAGGATCAAGTTTAAATGTATTACTGCAGAAAGGAAGAGTGCAGTCACACATTCTTTTCATTTAAATGTGGTTTTATACAGAACAGTCACTCTCCTTAGGCTTGTTTGCTTAATAAATAGATATACACAACTCTTATTCATATACACACAAAATGTACTGCAGTTTAAAGTGAGGTGAAACAAGATAAGGTAAACTGAACCTGGTTTACTTAAGAAATGAGGTGCATCGAGGTTAGGTCAAGTGAACGTGGGCCTAATTTACTAATGCGTAAAGTGTAGGGAACTTGTTTTCACATCAAACATTCAATTGTTTGAAGAAGAGGCTCTAGAAGAAGCTCTATTTTCCCCAGAACATATTTGGATGTTTGATGTAATAAAAGATTTACTACACCTTACTTCACGCTATAAATAATGTAAATGAGAATGAGTTTCACTTCACATTGCAGGCCCCTATATACCCAGACAAGCACAAACACGTCTGGGTCTAGGGAAGTGAGTAAAAAGAGGCAGAACCAAAATACTATTGCATTCAGTTTTGCCATGCCTGCCCCCCTAACCCACGTGCACTCAAACTTAAAAAGTGAAGGGTTTCTGGGGTTGTAGAAAGAAGTCACAAAGCTCCGAGTACCTGTAGGGACATGCATTCACCTCATATATTGGATATTGGTAGAATATTATCTAACAGAGGTTATTTTTTTAAAGCACTGCCTTCAACAGTGGCCTTTGTTTTCAAACCAAATGGTCATGTAAAATAGTTGGTGATAAAATGGTCAGAATATTAGAAAAGGGTATGTATATGAACACCCCGCAGACAGGGGTACTTCTGTTGTAGAAGACAATGGGCATTTAGTGTAAGATTAGTTCTCTACCTATCACAAACACTGAAGCATTTGCTGCTGCAGGCCAGGTGTAGCATGGGAAAGGACAATAGGGATGTAACAAATAGACATGTGTAGTGCTCACCTGCAAAAAAGAATCTGGCTACTGCCACCATTATAGTGCTTGGTACATAATTAATTAATTCAAGACTCTTAATTAATTTATTATAGGTATTTATATAGTGCAAATAATTTATGCAGCATTTTAAAGTCATATCAATCCCTGCCCTCAAGGAGCTTACAATCAAAGGTCCCTATCTCACATGCCTACATATACACACACACACACACACATTCTAGGGCCGATTTAGACAGGAGCCAATTAACCTACCAGCATGTATTTCAAGTGTGGTAAGAAACCAGAGTACCCAAAGAAAATCTATACAAGCATAGGGAGAACATGTAAACTCCATACAGTTAGTGTCCGGACTGCAATACAAACCAGGGACCCCCAGTGCTGCGAAGCAGAAGTGCTAACCACTAAGGCAATATAGTGATCAGATCTTAAAGATCTTCAGTTCATCTGCAGTGACCCTTAGGAACAGATCATATATGTAATTTACATTTCTTGACAGTGAAATAATACACACATAATTAAAAACAATGAAAAATAACATTTTTCAACTGGTAAAAAATGACAGGTTTGAGTAGTCTCAGGACTCGCACTCTTTGGATTGCCCATTCCTCAGCAGGGCAGACTTATAGACATCTCGCCCTGCAAGTTGCTTAGTTTTAATGAACATGATGGAATCCCAACAATCGTAAAACACTTTTACATCTTGGTCTTAGAGCGTTAAAAGCAAGATCTCAGCAGGGTAATATTGATGCTAATTTTGGAATTGCAGCAACATCCCCACTCCAGATGCTTAATATAACACTCTGTAGTAGGCAAGACTGTTGCTCTTTGAATTCTATTTCTGAATTTAGTCCAAAATAATAATGTGATATGAACATGATATAGCAATTCAGCAAGACACGTTTTTCAGACATCACAATAAGCTCAATTTACAAAGCTTAAACACAAGAATAAAGATCTTTATTTCATCCATGTGACATTCATTTTTAAATTTCATGTCTAGAGTCAAGCTGGTGTAAGGTTTACCATTTCACGTCCTGCTCTTTTAAAATAATGAGACATCAGTATGGTTTCACCTATAGCAGCTGCCTTTCCTTTAAGGCAAGTAGGTGTAGCAATACTTGGATGCCCCCAGAGAGAGTTCCTGTGCCAGATGGCGTTAAGATGGTAGGTTCAAGGCAGATACTGTGGTCACCAAGCTAGCGGTGTTCTGAACTGGCAGCAGATAGTAGCGTAGTCCGTTATCCAAGCAAGAGTTAGGGTAGATGGCAGCTAGGAGAGTCATCCATATGCAAGCAGGGTCAGGGTAGGTGGTAATAAGTAGTATAATTCCTTATCCAGGCAGGAGACAGAGCAGGCAGCATTCAGAACAGTAATATGTCACAACATTTCTTAAAACTTAACCTTTCAAAAACTGAGCTCTTGATATTTCCACCCACCCGTGCACCTTCCCCCAACATTTCAGTTGAGATTGATAACACAACTATCCAGCCCTCCCCTCATGCCAAGGTCCTAGGTGTCATCCTTGACACGGACCTCACCTTTCTTCCCCACATCCAATCACCATCCAAATCTTGCCGCCTTCACCTTCGTAACATCTCCAAAATAGGCCCCTTCCTCACCAATGAAACCACAAAACTACTCATACACTCCCTTGTTGTCTCTCGTCTTGACTATTGTAACTCCCTCCTCATTGGCATTCCACTACACAGGCTATCCCCCCTTCAGTCTATCATGAATGCAGCTGCTAGACTCATTCACCTGACCAAACGCTCAGTGTCTGCAACCCCCCTCTGTCAATCCCTCCACTGGCTTCCACTCGCCCAAAGGTTAAAATTCAAAATATTGGGGGCGTGGCTTGGCAATGGCCGTGTGAGCTGTGTTTCCAGTGAGCTCCCGGCCTGACTCTAACAAAAAGACCTAACAGCCTTCATCGCTCCACAATTGGCACCATGAGAAAGAAGGTGAAAGGGAAGGGATCCCAGTTAACCCCCAAAACGGCCTTTAAAAGGCTCTTCGTCTCCCCGAGCCACCTCTCTGATGAGCGGCCTCCTCGAGTGCGCCTGTGGCCTTCCGGCGCCCGCGAAGCCTCCACGCCGACCGGCCTGGATTATGAGGCGGCCACCTCCGATGCGGACTCCTCCTCCCCGATAGGTATGGGGACCCATCCGATCCGCCGTCTGGAAGGGAGCCAGGGGAACCGGGCCGATCGCTCGCCAGATGCCTCCCCAGCATGGCTGGACACACCAGGGAAGCCCAGGGCGCAGCAGCGGCGGCGATCACAAGGCCGCGATGACGTCAGCGGCCCTGCAGAGACGGAGCCCCGGGACCCGACCGGAGACCAGACTCCCATGACGCGTCCAGGAGGTAAGGAGCTCCAGATGGCTCCCCCCCCCCGGCCACACCGGGATCTGACACCACAGCTGCCCTCCACTTCAAAGGGAATCATAGACTGGTCTGTCCCCCCAGTCACAGACACTGCCAACGACTCCATGGATTCATGGGGGTCTGATCCCACATTGACATCCCCACAGAACTCCACGGCAGAGGTTCCTGAACTATCTTGCTCCCCTGGGATCCTGAGTGATGACCTTAGACGCCTTATCAGTGCGCTTCCCACTAAAGCAGACCTGGCGTCCACCTTCCCCACTAAGGCTGACTTTAACGCTTTTGCTACCCGTATTGAAACTGCCTACAAGCAAGACCTGGCCGAAGTTAAACAGGAACTCTCCTCCATTACCTCCCAGGTGGCCTCTGTGGAGCAAACGCAGGCTGACCTCCTCCATAGGGTCACTGCCCTAGAAACTGCTCAATCCACTTCTCAACAACAGCTCTCTAACACCATACTTCACCTTGACGATTTAGATAACCGGGGCAGGCGGAATAACGTACGCATCCGGGGACTCCCTGAATCTACGGGCCCCGCGGACCTCCGAGCTACTGTCCGAGACATCTTTAATCTCTACCTGGACAACCCTCCTGGTACGCCCATTGAGATTGACAGGGCACACATCTTTAGGCCCCAGACCGCAGGATCCGAACAGGCCGAGAGACGTAGTATGCAGAATTCATTTCTTTGCTGCCAAAGACAACATCATGCAATGTGCGTGGCGCAAAGGGACCCTGCATTTTGATGGGGCAACTATCCAACTTTTCCCAGACCTCTCCAGACGTCCCCTCCTCATGAGGCGACTGCTAAAGCCGCTACTGGACACTGTACGGCGCTCAGGGGCCACTTATAGATGGGGATTCCCGTTTCACCTCGTGATTAGGAAACAGGAGATGACATTTACACTGAAGACCCCTGCAGATCTGCCTGCTCTGTTTGCCTTCTTAGAGACGGAGGGAGTTGAGGTACCAGACTGGCTTCACCCTTCCTTGGAGCTGACGGGACCCCGTACCCGAAAACCGAGACGGTCCCTCACGGAATACTACCCCCAGCCGCCACGTGAACCGCAGGAATGGAACCCACGCGGGGCCCCCGACTACACGCGAGGCCTGACCCTCCCCGCCACAGTAACGTTCCTGAGCTGGGATACCACTTCGGCACCCACCCCCGATTAACACACTGTATCCTAATGCACTGCAAATACCCTTCCCTTTTTTTTTTCTGTCCTGCTCTATCCAGGATCTGCGAGCTATGGACGTTGGACTGATCGCTGTGGACTGCTCCACCCTACCGAACTACCACAGGGGTCTCCTGATGCTGCTCCGCCTGGACCTTCTGGTAACAGGGGTTACCACTTGTGGGGGGGTGGATCGGGGGGGGGTGCCCTCTCTGCATATTCCTCCGCTAATGTACCTACCTACATATGTATATTGCTCAATGGAGTCCCCTAAATTAACTACCTGCCCTCCCCCCCTTTTGTGGGTTCTTTACTGACATACCCTAGTATTATTTGAAAGACCCATCCCATGTGATGCTCATTATACTGTTTATATCTGCGGGTTTGAGCTGGGTAATGATGTTAAGTTTGTATCACTACAAAGGGGTTCTAGACCTAAGTCGTCGCGGGCGGCGATGACCCTCCGAAGTCGCGAGCCCGATTGGCGGACACGGTGGGGGATTGTCTGCTTACGAGGGCGAGGTTCCTCCCCCACCCCCTCCACCTGCTGTCCCACTGGGCTGTGTTGCTGAATGGGACCTTCGTTTCCCCGGGGGGATGGATGCCCCCTGGTGGAATATCTCCACGGGGCCGAACAACCGGCTTCTGCATTGACTTCCCGGTGGGTAGCTGGGGTTTGGGGTAGGGGCGGAGGGAGCCCGGGGACCCATCAGGTAACCTCCCTCACCTTCCTAATGCATCCTGGACCTCGGGAGTGGGGTGGCGGGAGGAGGTGTGAGGGGAGGAGCCCACAGGGAGATGGTTTATAGAGTAACAGGGAGTTAATGTTACCACTCCTATCCACCTTACACGCTGTCGTGATCCTTATTGTGTAACTCTGCACTTCACTAATTGTTCACTTAGTGCCTTTAAATGTTATGATCTGTTATTGATGCTGTTTTATACTATGTTATAAACGCACCCTGGCAGTGGGAGCCTTGGGGGAACTGACAGCCTTACGGCTCAGCCTACATTCCCTTTACTTATTCAAAGCTAAGAATGCGCTAATCAGATGTAGACGCACTTTCTACGAATTTGGGGACAAATGTGGGAAGCTTTTAGCTCGAGCGTTACGAACTCAGTGAGAACGATCCTTTATTCCTGAGATTCTGACTCGCAATGGTGTAAAAGTCTCCCAAACCAGAGACATAGCAGAGGCGTTTCGGCTCTACTACAAATCTCTCTATAACATTAGGCGTGAATCAGGGGCCCAGGGGGCTAGGCCTTCTACAGAGGCCGTTCACGAGTACCTTCTGGGTTCGAGCATGTTCCGACTCCCGAGCGGTGCTATTCTGGCCCTGGATTCCCCCATCACATCTGAGGAAATGGCCCTAGCTGTCTCACAGACCGCCACGGGGAAGGCGCCCGGTCCAGACGGCTTCACCCTGGCCTACTATAAAAAATACCAGGACCTTCTCTCCCCCTACTTCGTTGGGGCTTTTAATGCAGTGGGCTCGGGAGGAAAATTCCCACTAGACACCCTCAGAGCACATATTACAGTGATACCCAAGGAAGGTAAAGACCCCCTAGCGTGCCCAAGTTACCGACCCATATCGCTCTTAAACGTGGATCTCAAGTTATTGACCAAGATTCTAGCATCATGATTAGCCCCTCTGATGCCTGCAGTGATACACCCCGACCAATCAGGCTTTGTCCCCACAAGGGAGGCCAGAGACAACATTACGAGACCAGCGGAAATCAGATCTCATCCGACAGTAGGAGCTACCTGGAAGATATGTAGAAAAGTCTTTGACACCCTACATATCTCACCGCATCATTCCCCTCTCTTCCCGATACTGGGGAATCCAAGCTTCACCCCAGGATGGGAAGACGGGATCTTTAAATCACTTACATTGTCTAACTGTTTCAGAGCTAAACACTTTATATGTAATGACTCATGGCCAACTAGAACACTCTTAATGTCGGATCCCAAAACAGCCATACTTGGCTTCTGGAGGAACATTCAGCTCTCTCACTTCCTTCACACATTACCCCCTGCCACTGAATTCTCCCGACCGCTCACTGCCTTTGAAGCGGAATGTGACAACATAGAACACCTGCGCCACGCGGTCTCCTACATGTATTCTTTACTGAATACCCCAGTAGCAGGGAACACCCCCGTCTATATCCAAAAATGGGAGCGGGATCTGGGGATCAGTTTCACACCTGCCCAAATAACGAGAATCCACTACTTTACCTTTAAATCATCCATTCACACGAAAATCCAGGAATCCGGATTTAAGCTGCTTACTAGGTGGTACAGGACCCCCCAGCTCCTCCATTCGATGTATCCCTCTGTACCCAACAGTTGCTGGCGCTGTCAGGAAGTTCCGGGAGATTTGCTCCATATCTTCTGGGCATGCCCCAGGGTGGCCCCGTTTTGGTCCTCAGTTAAGTCTCTACTAAGCAAATTTACCGATAGGGACATCCCTCAGGATCCAGCCTTTTTTCTCCTTCATCACAACTCCTTCCCCAGGAAAAGCTATAAGACGTCTATTCTCCCACACCTCCTGAATGCAGCACGGAGTTGTATCCCAGCTCTGTGGAAATCATCCCAGACGCCCACAGTGTCCATGTGGCTTCATAAAGTTGGAGAGGTGGAGAGAATGGAAGACCTGGTCTGGTCTGGAAGAGGCCAACAAGCTAAGCATTGCAGGTCGTGGTTCTATTGGACCGATTTTACGCAGACATCCGAATTTCATGCTCTGTTGCAAGGCCCCTCCTAGAGGTAGGATGCAGCCGAGTTCGTAGCGGCAGCTGCCCGGGGACTGGCGACTGGCCCTCTGGTCCACTAACCTCATCTCCCACCCTCCTTTTCTCCATACATCTTTACCGCCCCTCTTTCCTACCTGTTCTGGCCCCCTCTCCCCCTTCTGCCAATGCTGGCTACCACTACCCTCTCTAGCTAGAATCTGGCACCCTCCATCCCCCCTTCCTTTTTGGTAATATTTCTGTGGCCTGTTTTGATAAACCGACAGTGGAAGATGGTGGAACCGATGCTGGCGCTAGGCCCCCTAGTTTCACCCGGGCCCGAGCCGATACGCGGCGCCTTCCTCTAATCTCAGATGCACCTTATACTACCTAATGTTTCTATACGATACCCATATACCTCTACGTAGGTGCGACCATTCCATATGTGTATCTTCCACTGGAACTCGAAATGTTTACATGACTGATGACTACCATATAAGCTGCTTACGATGATAACATTATACCCACAGAATATGCTGCTGTGTTTATGTCATGCTGTTTATTACATGTAATACCTGTTCTTTTACTTGTTGGAAAAAGATGAAAAATCTTGAAATAAAGAATTTATAAAAAAAAAATTCAAAATATTAACAGCCACTTATAAAGCCATCCACAACTCTGCCCCCGGATACATCTCAGACCTTGCCTCAAAATATCACCCTAACCGTCCACTCCGCTCTTCCCAAGACCTCCTTCTTCCCAGCTCTCTTGTCAACTCATCCCATACTTGCCTCCAGGACTTCTCTAGAGTCTCTCCCATCCTCTGGAACTCTTTACCCCAACCTGTCCGTCTATCTCCCACCTTAACTGTCTTTAGACTCATCACTTCAGGGAAGCCTATCCCACCTCAACCTAACCACTCAACCATCACGTTCTCAAACAATTCATCCCAACACAGCTACCTCCTCATGTATCACTTACACCTCCTCTTTTAGATTGTAAGCCCCCAGGGGCAGGGCCCTTCTCACCATTTTGTCTTGAATTGTATTGTGATTGTAATGTCTTCCTTATGTTGTAAAGCGCTGCGCAAACTGTTGGCGCTATGTAAATACTATGTAATAATAATAATATGTATCCAGGCAAGGGTCAGTAACAAGTAATTCAAAGACAATCAAGGTTAGGTGTAAGGTACTGGAGACAGAAAGCTAACACTATCAGAAATGCCAGCCGAAGAACATAGAGGAGGCTAGGCAGATTGTCAGACGTACCAGGGAGCTAGTAGCAAGGTAAGGAACCCACTGGCAGTAAGCAGCTGATAGGTCCAGAAACGAAGTACAAGTTTAGGGATAATCCAAGAGGGTAGTCGAAGTCCAGTCCGGGTTGAGGCAGGCAGCGAAGTTTCAAAGGTGAAAGACAGTCCAAGGTTCAGCAATCGGGAAGTACAGCGATGGGGCAACAGGCAACAAGAGGATCAACAGGGAGGCTAGGTCTTCACACCATAAGGTGGAATAACTCAGCAACAAGCCAGAGCTCAGGCCAGGTTTTTATAGCCAGGGGAGGTAAGACCACCCCCCGGTCACCGAGGCAACCAGGAGGCCTCCCTCCCCGGGAACCAATGGCAGGTGAGAGAGATGGAAGGTGTGCACTGGGAACCTCCCCCAGCAAGGCTCACACCTGATAGCCTGATGGCGCAGGAGCGCTACGCGCGTGCTTCCGGGGATGTGCGTGCAGCCTGCATACTGCGTCTGCGCACCCGCCGCGCAACTCGCGCATGTGCAACCGCAACCCAGGCACCAGGATTTCAACCAAGTTGAAGGGGAACCCGTGCCCTGCGCCGTGCCCATGGTCCCCGAGCAGAGGTAACACCCCCTGCTTCCTGACACAGATGGAGCCGACTCACTGCCAAGTAATGAGGACTCTAACCAAGGGGAGTGCCTTGGCCAACCAATGGGAGTAAAGAAGACATCACCACTAGAGCAGGCCTTGTCTGGCAACTAATGCTGTAGCTGGGAATGCCAGTGGCTGGGTTGCAGCTGTCAGTGGCTGGGTGGCAGGGGGAGATGGAGACAGGCTGTGCAGGAGCGTGCAAGATGCTCCTAACAGTTGGTAACAACTTTTTCCTTGGATTGAGCATTAAAGAATTGAAAATATCACAATGGCCACATGTGAAGCACCAAGAGTACAGATTTTCCACTAACAACATAAAAAATAACCTCAATTTTTAGCAAGTTTTTCATTTTCATAAAGTTGGCAGACACACCCTCTTTCTTCATTTAAAATACAAACCTGTGCAAAGACATTTGTGACAAGGGGGGATGTGGCCATCACTCAGCATTTCTATCACAGACCACTCCAGTGGGAAGACAGAAATCAGAGAAAATTATATTTCCAAACAAAAATCAGTCACAAATCATAACGTGGAAGGGTACAGCACAATAAAGACATAAAAAAGTACCTTAATTTGGATTCAAATATGAATAAAGAGTTATGGAAACCATTGTCTCCCATAGCTGGATTGTTAAAGGTTATCTAACATGAATAATGAGTTATATTATAAAAAGCACATATAGAGGCCTTGTGCTAGGTGAATAACATAATAAGAAAAATAGGAGAAAATGTTAAGTAAACTTGTTGCCCTTTACAGCCCTTCTGCAATTAGTTTTAGGTTAGTAATTTGTAATACAAAATGACAGCTGTAATATAACTGACCTAATCTTTCAGAATGGTTGCCATCGAACTGTGAAAAATACAAGCCTTTGGTTACTTAAACGCACCTGCCATACTAATAAAATCACATCAATTCTAATTTGTACCAGCCATTCTGACAAAATAAAAGGTCAGGTTGTTTCCTTGTTTCCATATTCCCCATAATCAACATAAATATTCTCTAAAATAGATTTTTTTTAAATATACAGGAATTTAAACTACTCATTTCCAGTATGGTGTAAATATTGCTTATTTCACTTTAATGAATGTCTTTTCCTTTTTTTTTTTTGTACACATACAGCTACATGATTGATAATATCATCTTGCTGATCACAGGGACCTTACACCAAAGACCCATTTCTGAGCTGGTTCCCAAGTGCCATCCTCTGGGCAGCTTTGAGCAGATGGAAGCAGTCAACATTGCTCAGACTCCTGCAGATCTCTACAATGCTATTATAGTGGACACTCCTCTAGGTAAGAAAGTGTAAAACCTTAAAAGGGAACTATAAACTTACAAATATTTTCATGTAACAGAGATGAAAAAGAAAAGATGGCACCTCCCCATATATTATTGATGTATGTTCAGGAGTAGAAAAATATATTTTACTAAGGTAAATATACAATAATGCAAATAAATATTTTACTTGCATTAGATAGTTTACTGCTATGCTAAGCAGACATACTTGAATAGCAGGATCTTAGATGACAAATTCTCAGCTGAAGGATTCAGCCGAGCCACAA